TTTTTTGTTATGTTTGTGTTGTATCGCAAGTGGTGCGAAGCTCCGCTTTGCCTGTGTGGTATTATTGAGCTACCTAATTTTACATAAAGTTCTTGAATTTTGATTAATTTTCAATTTATTGGTAATGTTTTCAAAAAAAACTGTCAATTTGAGAAAACTGACTGTAGGGAAATCTTTTCTATAAAGTATTTTTATCTGGTCTGCAATTGCCAATTTTAATCTAAATGGTTAATGCAGGAGGCTTTATATGGAATGGAACGTTTTAAAGTGTTTTAAATTATATTACACTTAAATAGATCATGTGGTTTTTTTCAGGAAAAAGTCTTAATATTTGTTCACGCTCAAATTTACTTTTTCGCGGTTTGACTATCGATTTATTTTTATGTTAACTTCATTTCTTCTGTTAAAAAGGAGGCTAACTCCACTATCAAACAGAGACAAAGTAAATGTCACGAAAATCGTGATCGACTTCTAGTTTTGAAAGTTGAATTTATTTTTCAGATTTCCCTGCGAAATTAAAAATTTACTGGTTGATTTAGTTTTCTCAAATTGGGTTTATTTTAGCAAAAATTGCAAACCAAAAACTGTACTAGAAATTCAAAGAGCTTTAAGAGAACATCTATTTCTTTGAAGTTCGAAAGTTTTTTTTTCGTTTACTTGCGCTCATTTTCTCTTTTCCAACTGTCTGTTGGCTTTGTTCTGACATTCCAGTGAAATAAACAAATACCTGTTGATCCAATTTCAGGATAACTTCACAAAAAATGTCATCAATTAGCAATATTTGAAATTTAAAGAGCTTCAATGTGAGAGAAATTCGGAAAGTTCCAAAAATATATGTCTAGTTGAAAAATGCTCGAAAGCTTATAATCAATTTTTTTTTCCGTTTCCTTGTGCGTATACATTTTTCATATCTGTTGGCTATGTTTTGAGTCAGCGGAGAAAAGTTGTTAATTCAATTTTTTCCGACATAGGTTTTTCGGGCTTTGAAATTTCGCCTCCGTGAAGCTACTTTGGTGTGAACAAGTTTCGGTGAATTATTTGGTTGAGCGCATTCAACGAAAGACCACGCAAAAACGTGTCGATTTTTGAGTTAATGATAAAAAGATTCTTCTGCATAGTCTTTGATGCTAAAAAGTCTTGTCGGAAGGCCAATTTTGAGAGATAATGCTTTTTTTAGAATATGATTCGATATGACCTTTTGTGTGTTTAGAAGGGAGTGGTGGGAGAAGGGTATGCAATGGGGTCTGCTGCGTCCATTGAGGGGGGACCCATTGAGCACATAGTGAGTGGACAGCAGCAGGGATGGAGTGGGACTGAAGAGAATGAGCCCCGACTGGTGGGGGAGCTGCTGGATCTAAGTGAGGAGCCCCCCTCCTCTGACAGCCAACACTTGAACAACAACTACAGATTGAACAACGTCATCATGCCCAACAGTCCATCCTCATTTGACATGGTGAGTTGCAGACAATTCACAATTTAACGTGATTGTTCACTACCCAAATTGGATGTCAATAATAACATGCTTAAAATGTTTGCGTGTTTTATCTCTATTTTATTCGAAATCGACTGTGTACCTCGTATAATAGTTGCGGAAGTTAAAGGAAAAACAAATTGAGAGGACAATTTTTTGATGAGAGGTATAATTTGAGCTATTCCCATATTTCCACTAGCTCTTTTCTGCTAGAATTTTCCCAGCGACACCACATGCAATGACTCAGAATAGTACACGAATACGATACAACAACTACAAGTCACATTATTAGTGGCTAGAAAAACTACTATTTATACAGCAAAATAAATACATGTCTTTATGCAACGTGGCCGCCAATTTTATTCAACAAAACTCAGCGAACGTTGGAGCGAGCTATCAACGTCTATTTTACCATATACCAGGCCACAAATAGTACTATCAACGTCTAAATTATGCATTTCGTCCCGTAAATTCTGCTCTAATCAAGTGGTTTTCAAAGTTTTGCTAATAATATGACTTTTTTGAATAGCTTTTCGAATATTTTGGCCATTTTTGGAGCTGAGAAATAATCGATTTGTAGGTCGAATGCTATAATTTAAAAGTACTGACAGTGTGACTATTGTTTTTTGGGAACTTCTGAACTTACACCTCTGGTCTCTTCGCAAATCGAGAAAAACTTTCGCCTTTTACTAAAGTTTTCTACTCGAGAACTCTAGAACTCTAGAACTCCACTCTAGACTCCAATCCTGATTGTAAAACGATCAACATGAACACGATCAACATGATCGTAAAACGATCAACTGATTGAACAACGTCATCATGCCCAACAGTCCATCCTAATTTGACATGGTGAGTTGCAGACAATTCACAATTTAACGTGATTGTTCACTACCCAAATTGGATGACAATAATAACATGCTTAAAATGTTTGCGTGTTTTATCTCTATTTTATTCGAAATCGACTGTGTACCTCGTATAATAGTTGCGGAAGTTAAAGGAAAAACAAATTGAGAGGACAATTTTTTGATGAGAGGTATAATTTGAGCTATTCCCATATTTCCACTAGCTCTTTTCTGCTAGAATTTTCCCAGCGACACCACATGCAATGACTCAGAATAGTACACGAATACGATACAACAACTACAAGCCACATTATTAGTGGCTAGAAAAACTACTATTTATACAGCAAAATAAATACATGTCTTTATGCAACGTGGCCGCCAATTTTATTCAACAAAACTCAGCGAACGTTGGAGCGAGCTATCAACGTCTATTTTACCATATACCAGGCCACAAATAGTACTATCAACGTCTAAATTATGCATTTCGTCCCGTAAATTCTGCTCTAATCAAGTGGTTTTCAAAGTTTTGCTAATAATATGACTTTTTTGAATAGCTTTTCGAATATTTTGGCCATTTTTGGAGCTGCGAAATAATCGATTTGTAGGTCGAATGCTATAATTTAAAAGTACTGACAGTGTGACTATTGTTTTTTGGGAACTTCTGAACTTACACCTCTGGTCTCTTCGCAAATCGAGAAAAACTTTCGCCTTTTACTAAAGTTTTCTACTCTAGAACTCTAGAACTCCACTCTAGACTCCAATCCTGATTGTAAAACGATCAACATGAACACGATCAACATGATCGTAAAATGATCAACTGATTGAACAACGTCATCATGCCCAACAGTCCATCCTAATTTGACATGGTGAGTTGCAGACAATTCACAATTTAACGTGATTGTTCACTACCCAAATTGGATGACAATAATAACATGCTTAAAATGTTTGCGTGTTTTATCTCTATTTTATTCGAAATCGACTGTGTACCTCGTATAATAGTTGCGGAAGTTAAAGGAAAAACAAATTGAGAGGACAATTTTTTGATGAGAGGTATAATTTGAGCTATTCCCATATTTCCACTAGCTCTTTTCTGCTAGAATTTTCCCAGCGACACCACATGCAATGACTCAGAATAGTACACGAATACGATACAACAACTACAAGCCACATTATTAGTGGCTAGAAAAACTACTATTTATACAGCAAAATAAATACATGTCTTTATGCAACGTGGCCGCCAATTTTATTCAACAAAACTCAGCGAACGTTGGAGCGAGCTATCAACGTCTATTTTACCATATACCAGGCCACAAATAGTACTATCAACGTCTAAATTATGCATTTCGTCCCGTAAATTCTGCTCTAATCAAGTGGTTTTCAAAGTTTTGCTAATAATATGACTTTTTTGAATAGCTTTTCGAATATTTTGGCCATTTTTGGAGCTGCGAAATAATCGATTTGTAGGTCGAATGCTATAATTTAAAAGTACTGACAGTGTGACTATTGTTTTTTGGGAACTTCTGAACTTACACCTCTGGTCTCTTCGCAAATCGAGAAAAACTTTCGCCTTTTACTAAAGTTTTCTACTCTAGAACTCTAGAACTCCACTCTAGACTCCAATCCTGATCGTAAAATTCTTTCGCCTTTTACTAAAGAATTATCGTTTATAAACTAACTTTGTTACATAATTTCTTGCTTTATTGTTATCAGGGGAAACATATATTTGGTCATCCTGTAAACTCAGCATAAATTAGTAGCGTAATTTAACGCACATTAACGTAAATTTACAGGCACTTATCAGTGTTCACTCAAAAATTAGTGCAGGTTCTGCATTTTAACGTTATTTTCTTAGAAATCAAAGGAAAAGCGTAGAAAAAATGTCCGAATCGACAACTGAATTGATAATTGAAGGGGAAATTAAAACCCCAGAGCCAACTTTTGCCCAAAAACTTACGGAAAGCTTGGTTTCGATACCAGGACCAGTCCAAAACTTAGGAAACAACCAAAACAAAAATCCGATTACTGTCGATTTTGTTTTACCTTTTACCAAAGAAATATTCGAGAACGAAGCAAAACAAGAAGAACTGTTTGCCGAAGCTGTATCAAATATTCGTAAAGGCCTCCCGCGCGAATGTCGAAACAATCTTACCATTCTGAAAACCACAATACCGAAAAAAGATGGCAAGAAACTCAGAGCGGTTCGAGTGCTAGCCCCCCAATCGATATACAACGAAGTACAAGCACTTAAGCTGAATGGAATAAACATCAGAGACAAGCATATAGTTGCTTGGGGACCTAAAGAACGCGTCATAGATGCTTACTCTAAAGAAGTCAACATGTATTTCAGAAACCTAGCGCATTTCTTCGATGACGAAGATGTGTTGCAAGCAGTGAAACTTCCAGATATGATGAAACAAACCACTATGATCCAGAAAGAGACGATTGCAACGAACGATGAAGACGGTGGCTGTGTATACACCGGAAGAGCATCATGTCGTATGCTTATCGAAGACGAAAAACAAGAAGAACTATTATCCTCATGGGCCGAAACAAGTTGTGTGCAGACCTTTGACCTATTTGGAACGCAGTTTTTCTGCAACATCCCCTCATTGTTAACCTGCGAACACTGTGAAAAAGCCGGTAGAAGGGCCAAAGGCCATCACGTCAGCTATTGCTACCAAAAGTTTCGGTCGTCAAAAAATAATCAGAAAGAACCGTCTGATCAACGCCTAATGAAAAGCAAAGAAAGCGAATATCATGAAAAGAAACCAAAGCAATCCGAAAAAGAAGTCAGCCAAGAAGTACAATCAGACGGCGAAATCAGCTACGATACCAATACCAGTTTCTCGCAAGTGGTGAAAAGAAATGTAAATCGAAGAGCTTACGAGCTGAGAAAGCAGAAACTCCCCCAAACTGAAACCAAACCAAATAACTACAGCAACGAAAATGAAACCCAGTTTGAGTCTCTGGGAACAATCACGAGAAGTCGTATCAGACAAAAAACGGTCAAGTCATCCGACGAAAAAGGCTTGAATAGCGAGTCGGAACTGTCGAAAGAAGTCAATGAAAGTCCTAACCTGGAATTGCCGAGGGCTTGATCGTCCCGAAAAACTTATTCACATAATGAATAAAGTAACCCATCTCAACTATGACCCAAACTTCATAATTTGTTTACAAGAAACCCAAACTACGGATATCAGTCATAAGTTGAGAACAACTCTAGAGTACTACAAACTTCAGTTTGCTCATACATCATCAATTGGTCGTAGTGGAGGACTACTTACACTCTGGCCAAAGTCTATGAAAGCAACCGTTATCGCAGAAAACAGGGCGTCCCAGCTAATTCATTTTCCCCAGCAACGAACATATGTAGTGAATGCGTATGTCAGAACAGCAAATTATGTCAAAAGTTGCCAACTAATATCGGAAGCGATGACAGAATTAAATGATATAAATGAGTTAGACACACTTATTCTTGTAGGAGACTTGAATTCTTTCCCGAATCACAAGAGAGATCATCAAACACAAATAGTCTCGACTGCAAAAGTATTGAAGAAAAAACATGTTACCATATTCAAAAGAGTAGAACCTATTTTGAACAGACATTGCCTTAAAGACACAGCAGTTGAGCTAGAAAAAGATAAATTACACATAAATGCTCCAGAACTGGAACACTCACCCGAATAGACTTTATTTTTTCGAATACTCTCAAGGCGGATGATACATTCCAAATGTACGAAACAACCTTGAGCGACCACCAGATCTTATGTTACCAAACCTTTCAAGAACCTCAAGTGGACATGGGTCCAGGTATCTGGAGATTGAATAACAACATTCTGCCAAATAACAAAAAAACAATAGAAAAACGTCTTGAAAATTGGTCAATTGAAAACTATGATGTAAGTAAGCAAGAATTACGTGAGTTCCTACGCAACATCTCAATACAGAAAATCAGACTAGAAACAAAATACAAACAAATGTTAGAATCCCAAATTGAACGTTTGAATATAAGCAATCAAAAAAGAGTTGAACTCGAATGTCAACTGCGAAAATTAGAACAAGAAGAGTGTCGACAAATTTTGACATGTATTCAAAATAATGTCAAAGAGCTTCAGGACGGCAACCCCAAAGAAATTAAAA